TTTCTTAGAGCTCCAAATATTGTTTCCTAGTGTCAGTTTTCGTATTTCTTGTGGTTTGCTTCTTGGAAATTTTGGTCAAAGGATCTGCAGGAGAGAGTGATTGATAACATATCTTCATCAGTTTACTAAAATTATTGATAAAATAAGATAAATATAGAATTTAAAATATTTAAATAAATAATTAACAAATAGATTCTAGGTATAGCAATTAATATATAAAACTTTTAGATAGACTATTTAAATTAGATAATGATTAAAGTTATACAAGTAATTAGTTATATATTTTTTTCAAGTTGCTTTTGCAGATGTGGTGACTTAGTGAAATGGATAAGTTATTATATTCTCAAGTGGTAGGTTGTGAGTTTAAAACCTACCGACAGTGAAATTTGGATAATCACCTATGTAATATATAAGTGGTATTATGGTGACAACATTCTGTCAATCAGTTGGAATAGGATACTTGTAACTATAGTCGCACTAGCATGATTGGCAGGTCTGGGTATCTGTTAACCTGTTATACAGAGAAATGCAAACTGGGCTATGTAAATCTGTAGAACTGATAAGCCAGAGCCCACTTGGAAATTCCAAGCAAAAAAGTAACATAGATCTTTAATAGTACTACTGTAAAGGCTAGACCTAGAAAATGAATACCAATGTGAAAGATTTGGACAGGCAAGAACCTCAGGTGAGAGATACTACCAACCAGGCTGCTGGATTTCGGACTGAAGGAAAAGGATATTGGGCTGGCCTTAATATACTAAAAACAGGTCACAGTCCTTCCAGGCTATCTGGATTGAGAGTCTGGGTTCAAAGCAGGGGTATACTAAAAGTACTAGGGATATGCTGTAAAGTCAGTACTAGGGTCTGGATAAACTCTGCAAGAGTAGCCTGTATTAGTGTTCTAAAAGTAAGTAGATAGTTAACAACAGGGGGCTCTCAGCATCTTACTGGCAGGTGATATACTCTGAAATGTGTAACAGCCTAGAAACCAGTACAAAAAGAGTAGGTACTATACTGCTTAGATGATATACTGGATAGGTATATAGGAGGGTTAGTTGGGGATTCCAATATAACAGAATGAATGATCAGAGGGTTTAAATAGATAATCTCCTAGTAGTTTATAGGTATGGCATCTAGTGTAAAACCTTAGGATAGACTATTTAAATAGGCAACCAAAAGTTGCATGTATGACTAGCTGTACTCTTATCTCTGTAAAAATAGTTATAATAGCTAATCCAATATAAAGTCAATAAAGTATTGCCACAAGTATGGCCTTTAAAAAAAAAAAAAAAAAAAAAGTTGCTTTTGCAATTGTTATACAATAGTTATCAGTCAGAATATACTATTAATAAAATTCTAGATTGCAATTATTTATCTTAATATTAAAAAAAATAAAATAAAAAAATTTTATTATTATTATTATTTTTAACTATTTTAGATAAAGCATCATAAGATGCATATAGTGCTCTTTATTATTTACTATAATTATAAAATTATTATTTACAATTTAAAGGTTCTAAGTTAAGTATTTATAAATTTTTTATAAATAGGTTTGGTTAAGTTTTTAATTTAAAACAGACCAATCTTTTTAAAATGTCTATTTCTTGTTATAGTAACAATTGCTATCTTTGAGTATCATATTTTTTTTTATTTATAAGCTGCATAATAGCATTAAATTTTTTTTTTTTTTTGGTATTAAGATGACCTCTTTGGTCTTTTGACTTTTATTAATTACTTATCGGTATTGTGGTTCAATAAACCACTACAGGAGAGTGTACAATTGGCTACACATGTAATTTTTCTATAACCTATTTAAAGAGTCTGCTCAAAAGTTTTCTACCAATTGCTATACCTAACACTCTTGCTTGTGTGTTCTACTTTAAACCCTCTGAACCTGTAATCTGTGTTAACATCACTGGTCATCTCAGATGCTCAGATCATTGTCTTCAACCTTAGGACTAATTTATCCTCGAGGTAAACCTCCTAGAGCCTTTTGTACTTATTTTTACAGCTAACCTAGGTATTGCTATGGTAGAACCAATACTTGCAGTCAGGGCTAACCATTAAACTGCTATGCCTTTGTAGAGTTTACTTAGACTCCAGCATCTACTTCACAGCATAACTCCAGTACTTTAGTATACTTCTGCCTTTTCCCCTACCCTTTTACCAAACTTTCAATCCAGATAGCCTATATAGGACTACAACCAGTTCATTGATATATTAGGTCGGCCTAATATTCTTTTCCTCTGGTTCATTCTGGTGGTCTGGTTAGTAGTACCTCTAAGACTCCCAACCTGGAGGTTCTTGCCCATCTGGCTACTAGGACTGGGTACTAGACCTAAATATCCATTTTGCTAAGCTAGCCTTTACAGTAGAGCTGTCAAAGATTCAGCTATCTCTTTACTCAGGTCTTCTCAAATGGACTTCTTGTTACTCAATTTCAATGAATTTACATAGCCACAAGAACTTATCTAGTGTTTGCACTGCCTGATTTGTCAGTTTGCATTTCTCTATGTAACTCCAACATTGCACAGATGCCCCATAACCTGCCAGTCATGCTGGTGTGACTGCTATTACAAGTATTCTAACCCAATCATTAGTAACAGTTGCCATAATATGAATATTATATAGGTGATTATCCAAATTTTCACTATCGATAGGATTTGAACACCCAACCTACCACTTGAAGGGTTGACAACCTAACCACTTTACTAGGTTGCCATACCTTTCAATTACTATTTTTATTTAATTATTTCAATCACTAACCAATTATATTAATTATATTAAGAGATATGTTTAAGAATAATTTGAATTACTTGTATCTAACAGGATAAGCAAGTATAAATATTAATAACAATAAATAAATTAAAATTTAAAAACCACTTTTATAATTAAAGTACTAAAAAAAATTTACATATAAAAATCCATAAAGAATCTTTATAATTATCAAATATAATTATAATTAAAATAAATATAATTAATATTTAAACAATATATAGTAACAATTAAACAGTTATATTCTTTATAATTTTGAATCCTTTATTAAAAAAATGTCCTGTCATCATCAATTAACTTTTTATATTGAAGCACTTGATTAAAAGGCAAATGATTTTAACAAATATGCAATATGTTTAGCTTGTCTTAAAATAAAAGGTCATCCTTATGCTCTTGAAAAGCAATTTACTAATACTAAAAAATGTTGTAAAGATTATTTTAAAAAATGTGAATTTTTTTAGCAAAAATATGAAATAAATAAAGCACAAACTATTATAAATGATACAGACAGTGAAGCAACTATGCAAAAGTGTCAAGAAAAAAGATTCTATATACATAAAAATGATAATAATAGATCATTAAATTATGCATCAAGTTCAGTATCTATTGTATCTAAATTCTCAACAAATAATAAACCATTAGATAATTTTGCTTATCATCAATTTACTGAAAGTAATTTTGATAAATTTAATTATCTGTTATTAAAAGCAACAATTTCAAATAGATGGAGTTTTCATTATATTCAAAATTCAGATACTATCATATTATTTGAATTTATTAATCCTTCATGTAAGCCTCCTAAACAATGAAAATTAGGTGATAAAATTTTAAGTTATGTTTCAAATCAAATGGTTGCAAATATTAAAAACAAGGCCCAAAAAGATTTTTATAGTATTATTCTTACTATGGATGGTTAGATAAATATAATTAATCAATCAATTATAAGAAGTGTTTTACTTACAAGTTCTGGTGAAGTTTTGGTTTGGCAAGTGATTGATATTAGTAATAAAAGAGCATGTATAGAAGAAGTAAAAAATAAAATTAATGAAATTACAAAAAGTGTAACAAATGAAGGAATAAAAGTAACAGCAATTGTAACTGATAGTCATTCATCATATGCTGCAGCAAGAAAACAGCTTCAAGTTAAAAACCCACAAATTACATATTTATCATGTTTTGCACATCAAACCAATTTATATATTGGTGAAATTTTTAAAGAGTCAAATATATTTAAAACTACTGCATTAGAAACTACACATATTGCAATATACTTTAAAAATAAACAACATGCTTATTTTACTGGAAAACTTTGTGATATTTAAATGCAAACATATAATAAACTACAGACTTTGATTATTTCTGGTAATACATATTGAAATAGTTATTAATACTGTTTTGGAAGTTTTTTGTGAACTAAAAAAGCTTTAAAGATAATTCCTATTTACTATATATTTTTATTATAATTTTAAGCATTTATTTAATTATTATTTAAGACACTTATAGCACAATATGAACCTCAAACTAATAAAAAAATTGAAATTAAAAATGATTTGATATTATCTAATTATATTTGAAATCCAATTAAAGATTCTGAATTTTGGTAAAATATAATAGCTATTAAGCAAATTCTTTTATTATATTGTGCTTGTTTAAATATTTTATAAAGAGATAAAGCATGTCTTTATGATGTGCTTTATTCTTTTGGTTATTTTTATTAATTCTTATCTAAACTTTCAGATTTACAATTTAGTACATGATTATGTAATTGTTTAGAAAAGTAATAACAACAATAGAAACAACCAATAATTATTTTATCTTGAGTTTTTCATTCTAAATATCGGTTTGATAAATTTAATGATCATTTATCATATTTAAATTAGGTTGATTTAAGTGAATATTTATAATACTATTATATTACTTGGACTGGAGTTATGCCAAAAAATATTTTACAGGAATTTGATAACTATCGAATTAAAAAATTTCTATTTAATGATAAATTATTTAAACAGTTTTAACAAGATGTATTTGGTTATTAGAATTGGTGCTCAAAAAGTATAAAAGAATTAGGATTTGTAGCAAGTCGAATAATAAGTATTTGTATAAATGCTGCATCAGTTGAAAAGTTATGGTCTTCAATGGATTATTTACATTCTGCTTTAAGAAACTGATTAAAAGTAAAAAATAATCTTTAAAATTTATATATAAATAAATAAAAATTAAAATTTAGTTTAATTTATTTTTAGCATACTAAGGTATTAGCAATAGCTCAAATAAAAGGTGTAATAAATCAAGCATACCGAAATCATAAACTTGAATAAATTAAACAATTATATTATTTAAATGCAACTACTACATTATATAAAGCTAATAAAGATACAACTCAAGAACCATAAGAACTGACAAATATTATTGAACAAAAACAAGAAACTGATAGTGAAAATAAATTTCAAGATTCTGCAGATCTAACTAAAAATAATTTAGAAAAAGTATTAAGTTTATGGGAATCTATGCTTGAAAATGAAAAATTATATGATTAGAATAAAGAAATAACTGATTCATTATTTAATACTGAATTATCATCTGATATTCTTTTAGATCATGAACATTCTCAAAAAGATAAATGTGCAAAATAGATTCTTAGTGAGCTATTTGTTAACAAATTAGATCCACCTTTATATATTAATGAATTGTAAATTTTTATTTTTGTTGTTATTTGATAATTTTTGAATCTAAATTATAAGAAAGATTTAATATTATAAATTTTTTTTTTATTTTTTATTTTTATTTTATTTTAGTTTATTTTTATTTTATTTTATTATTATTTATTTGTTTTTAACTATAAAAAGATACTTATAAAAAATTAAACATTATAAAATAAATGATCAGACAATAACAATAATTAAAAATATTAAGTTTATTATAAATATAGTCTACTTAATACTAAACCTTCAAATAATATTTAAAGATATTAATTTTTGAATTATCTGGTTAGAAAAGTGTTAAAAATCAGGTGATTTTTTAGAAGAAGAAGAGGTAAAAAAAGTTGAAATTATATATAAAGAACTGGATTATTTATATATTAAAAGAAGAGAGGAGGGGTAGATTTCTGATAAAAAATAATCAGATAATTAATGACACAGCTTTAATAAAATTAAGGTTCCAAGTTATTTTAAGATTTTTTATCTACATTAAAAATTAAACTTATTGCTATTGTAAAAGATCTTTATATATGTTTAAATCAGCATGACCAATATGTTAACTTATTAAAAATAGACCAATAAGGTCTATTGGACTGGACTGAACTGGACTTATTCTAATAAATTAACTAGACTTTGTTTAATAACAATAAACTGCACCATTTGAACTAAACAAAGCAACTGAACTGGAATTATACAAAATCTAGTCCAGTTCAGTTCAGTAACTCATAAGAAACTGAAATAAGTCCAATGACAACTCTGATATAATTATATTACTTTTGTATTACTATTTCTAGGCATTTAAGAATAGAGGGTATATAGATTATTTTTATATAGTTTTATATAATATTTTGAAATTTTCATATAAAATTGAAATATACTACTTATAAAACTTTTTTAAATTACAACTAATTTTTATTAAAA